AACCTTCATAAAGGGTTGGTTTCATGGCGACAGCTGCCGTACAACTCCGTGAATTTGTAGACTGCCGGTAGGTAGGAGCAGCAGGTAGGTGCCCTAACCCACATAATCCTCACATAAGGCTCACATAATCCTAATCCTAACCCCCTAACCCTCTAGTCCTAGCCCTGGCCCTAACCCTAACGGCATTGTGTCATTCGTTCCGTGTTTTTTGGTGAATATGCTCTCATGTGTCTTTGGGTGTTGCACCATTTTGGGACGGGGGAATGCAGGTCCCTGAGACTCTCTCGTCTTACTGAACATTTGGGTCTTCATGGAAAAGGCCAGTGGAGGTATGAAAAACAAAATGAAACAACTCTGTTTTTCTCTGTTTCTTTTATTAGAGACAAAATGGCAAACTTATTATTACTAGAATTAATTTGTGAAAACTGTAATAATGCTGTTTCCAACTCAAGTAACTGTCACTTAAATAACACACAGGCAAAAAGGAGAGGAAATTGTACAAGGAATTAAATAAGTTGAAAGAAATGTGCAGACTTAATAAATAACAAAAAAATGCCTCTCAGAGAAAACAGAATTCTTGAGGTGTTGTTTTTTTTTAAAATACTCCCTTAGATAAAAGTAACCTGGTACAGTAACAAAAACACAAAAATATTAAAAATTGATTTAACAAATGTATTAACATTCTCCATTCTCCATGCTTAGCCCATATAATATTTACATCATGGAATATTGTATCAGCAGGCAACACAGAAAGGGAAACCATTATGAATCACAGGAGATGTTTTGGATATACAATATATATAGACTAATTTCCTCCCATTACTCAAAATTATATTAATTAGGTTAATAATATACCTTCAATATTTTTAAAAAATATATTACTGTCAACTGGTCCTCTGCTGTTTAAAAACAACTGTAAGTCCTTAGTGTCTACAGCACAGTCTTCCTACATTTTTATTGAAGAGTATGAATACACCATAGCTCCAAGATGGTAGATACCTTCAAAAATGGCTCCAACAAGATTGTGTTGCTCGGGGGGGGGGGGATATAGATTGGCAACTGTGTACACTCACGGATACTGAACACATCACTAGGAGCCAGTCGAGAGAGCAGAACACACCAGTCTCCCACCCCATAAAAAACCTTTCATGAGGCCAGTTTGGGTAGCAACCAATGGCCCAGATCCTAATTCAAGTGCTGTTCTTTGCAGGATGTGATCTTACTCTTTCTAGCACCAGGTGCAAACAGGACATATTTCACAGATTCCACACACAGGACAGTTCAAATTTAACACTGCAATTTGAAATGTAAATTTGAAAATGTAACACTACGATTTCCCAAAACTCACCTCTGCAGCAAACTCAGTGTGTTGCATCCCTGCCAAAAACTACAAGATTCCTTTTTAACACCCACTTGGTACATGGTCAGAATAGTGCTTTTGCAACAGCTTAAGATTTAGAGCAGCTTTGCACATGCACACAATCTTTTAAAAAATAAGAAGATATAAAAAAGAAAATAAGCAGAGTCGGAGCACCCTTTGGGTGGGTGAGCACCCGATTCTACCTTCCCTTAAAGGGTCCTTTTAAAAAGCTCCCAGGATATTGTGTCTCTTGTCTCAAACAACCTGAGAAAGAGACAGGTGGTGGTGTGGGGATGGGTGGGTTGGAGACAGAGGACTCAAACTGCAGTTCAGTGCATGCACAGGGATTATTGGGAGACAAAGAGTTTTTCACACAACAGATCAACATTGGTGCACAGTGTGAGCTGTCCCTATTCTCCCTCCCTATGTTGGAAGTATGGAGGCCCATAGCATTGCCCCAAGGGCAGTCCCCTCCTCTGCACACAGTCACAGCTCAACGATTGTCAAGTACTGGTGACCAGTTTTATGTCATTCAAACTGGATGGGTGACCGTCTGGTTGATCATACACCAGAAACCACAACAAATTTCCTTCCAGTGATAAAGCATTAAAGGTGGTTCAGAGTGCAAGACCACCTCACTCACTCATTCATTCATTCATTCTCGTGGCCCAAACAACACTAGATAAAATAATAATATTATTATTTCAACATACTTCCACGTCTTCTGAAGTTCCTTGTGATTCTTAGAAGTCTTTTTGTGCTTGCAAAAACTACAGGAAATTACTTACCTAATTTCCTTATAATGTTTCAAGTTCCTGGACTTCTATTACAGGTTAATTAATCTTCCTATATAAAGATGCAATCACTTAGCTGTGTTGATTCATTGCAGGCTCTTCTCCTCGCCTCCCCCACAGCTATGCTGAATGAACTGCCAAGCCTTGACGAGCATAGGAAGTCCAAAATGGAACATGGGCTGAGCAGAAAGCCTACAGTTTAATCACCATCCATGTCACTTTTTACATGTATGCTTTAATTCCCCTTCCTGGGGTGTGCAGAGGAGACAGAAATATCCAAAATTTAATTTAACTTAAGGAGAAATTAAACAACCGTGCAATCTAAAACAGCATCACCACTAAAAAATGTATTTAGGGTTTTATAAGTCTCAATTTTCAGAAGCCCACGCATATATTTCACTACTGTTTCCAGTAGTGAAATGCCAAAACATTTCAGCCATTTTCCTTCCTGTTATTCATATATTTTCCCCGACCATACCATGAGAGGTTGAATGGCATTTGAGTCCCTTTGAAATATGAAATCATGGCTCATCTGTGTTTCAACAGGACTTAAATACAACAAATGCGTCCCTTGGATTCTTCTCTGCACACACAAGCAGTTGAACTAAGACACTTATAACAGATTAAAAACAAACTTCCATAAAAATTTGAGAATATTCTAGAGCACAGCAGAACTGAAATCAAATGAGGTCATATTCATATTTTTTTTACTGCTATTGGGAATTTGCTAAAATGAAAATAGGAATTATTACATTACAGGAGCATTTTAGCTGCCTCTGGAAAAACAATGATCTAAACCTAGGCTATTTTAAATAATAGCTTACTCAATGTTTACAAAAATGAGGTCATTGCACAGCAGTTTTTAAAATTCACCATCCCCTTCATAAGAGCGGATCCAAAAAAAGAAAGCAACGCCCTGTTCCTTCCAATGATAAGTCTGAAACATAGCCACCAACACAAGGGCTGTGGGTGCCATGCTAAGAAGGCGTAGAACTAACTGAAGGAACTAAATGAACTAATAAAGGTAAGAAAGAAGGGGAAGTCCAAAGTGGAATGTGCAGAGGCAAGCCAGACACATTTGGCTTCAGGGATAGCCAAACAGACTAGAGGACCCCAAGGAGTCATGTGGCCTCTTCCAGGCAGGAGGGCCAAGGGGCTTTCTGTGCATGCTCGAGGATGGCACCAACCCAAGGCAGCGGTTCCTCTTAGCAGGGACTCTGCAGGTATGATCTAAGAAAACAAAGGATCTGATCAGAATTTTAGAATACAGAGAACACAACTTAAAAGAATTTTTGGTGCAAAGAATGCACCAAAGAATGCACAGGGCACTTTAGCAACCCTAAAATGCAACCATGGTCAGCAGACATCCTTAATCCATGGTTGCTGTGGTTCCAAATTCCTTAACTCAGAAGCTACTTAGAAGAGGCAGAAAACATTTCAGGACTTCTTATTGTATGGAGCCAAAAGGATGCTTGCCTGGAACCTCAGAGGGCCATTTCCACAGGGGGGAAAAGCCAGGAGTTGGCCTGTGAATCGGTTGCCCAAGATTTGTGTCCCAGAGGACAGTTTTGGAGGTTTCAGGGCAACGGACTTAGCAGCACTCTCAAAAAACTGTAACCTGGAATGTATTAAAATGCAGATAATGAAGATAATTTTAAGTGCAATTTGTCAAACAAAAGGAAAAAAAATGCATTCCATTCCATGGAGAAAGTGTCTAGATCACAGATGAATGGGGAGCCCACTCAAAGCTGCCTCCACCCCAGCTCCTTAACATGCAAGAGGACAGAGAGTGATGCTCTACGACAAATTCTAGGACTGGGGGGACTTTAGCTTGCTTTTCTTGGAGAACACAATTCTTTGGGGCTGCAGAAGTTGTGCACAACCAACCATACAAGATGAACCATTGGTTCAATGGAAGGAACATGCGCACAATAATGAAATGATGGAGCCCTGGGAGGAGAGCATCAATGCAGAATCATATGCTACAGAATGTCCTCCCAACAAAAAAGGGACTTCCAATATTATTCTGCAAAAGTGATTAACTATTTGAAAATGTGGTGGTTAGCCAATGGTCATTTTTCCAGTCATTTCTGCATGACCCCCTGCATGACCCCCCAGGTGTCACTGCTCTCTTCCTTTCTGCTGGTTCCCTCTGCAGTTGCCTGAGGCTGACAGCATCCCTTGCAAGACAAGATTGTCAGGGCGACACTTTGGGACAGCAAAGAATCCACACCCAATCCAATAGGATCTTAAAATTGGATTTGTTTTAAACATTTTTAAAAGAAAGTGCCATTGGCCAGGAATGGAGAGAAGCTGATTTTGCATTCCCCGTAAACCTGTCTAACAGAACCAGCAGTAAAAAATATGTAAAAGAAAAAACCCAGGAAAAGCACACAGAGAGAAACACTTACACAACTGAACAACACTAGCACACACGCGCACACACAAACAAACGGTTTCTGCCCATAGCTCATCATCATCTGCTGTCAAGTACAGTCCAGCACGAAGTGTTTGTTCCCCTAGAAGCAGCAGCAGCAGCAGCAGCAGGAAACATTTAAAACCACAGGACACATAGTTCAGTCCATTCCAAGGACATGGGAAAAGGAGACATGTTGTTGGTGGCCAGCAGAACAGAATGTGGATATGGAAGTCACTGGTGATGTCATGGGAGGAGTCAGTCCACCCTGGAAGGTGGCAACTCTTTCCACAGGTCCAACACACAGCCCCGTGGCATAAAAATGCAGTCATGAAAATCAGATAGTTGCCCATTCAGATTGCAAGTCTACAGTATGCACCTGAAGAGGTTTATTGCAAATAAGCAACATTTTCGGGGGCTGCCGCTGTTGGGAGTGCAAGCTGCCTGGGAGTGCAAAACACTTCTTTTGTCTGCTCCGTTGCTGGCAACAACTCCCCTCCCCATCCCCTGGTTGCTGCATCGGCCTTCTCTGAGGCCTTGGTCCCTGTGCCACTATTTTTTGAGCTCAGCACTTGCCCCTGAGCCCTTCACCCAACTCCGGGGAGTGGGCAAGGAACTAACAGCGATGCAGCAACAGACAGACATCCCCTGCAATGGCACAGCCTTTCCTTGCCTGGGTCCTAAAGGCCGTTGCTGTTCTTGTGGCTGAGGGGGGGCTTGGAGAGCTCCACAACTGCAGAGCGGGATTTATTCAGGAACTTGGGTGCCCGACGTAAGAGCAGCTGTGCTTCTGTGAACGTTTCGGTCAGTTCCTTCTTCCATTGTACAAACTCTGGGTCACTCTGGGGAAAAACAAATGCACACACACAAAAATCAGTTTTTTCTTCAGAATCCATTGTACCAGCAAGATAACTACAACTTGTCTCATACAGTTTTGAACTCATTGAGGAAAGACTCTTGATAGAGATAGAGACAAACACTACCGGAAGTTGGGAGCCCACAGCTCAGTGGAGCACCTGCAGAAGGTCCCTAATCTGACTCTTGGAATGCCTAGTAAAATGAAGAGTGGGGAAAAAGTAACTCTGTGCCTCAGATCCCAGAGTGTCACTGCCAGCCAGTGTAGGCATTATTGAGCTAAAGAGTCTGACTCCAGCAAGTTCAAAGTTGCTATTTGCAAATGCTCAAAGAGCCAGTGTGGTGTAGTGGTTAAGAGCGGTAGTCTCATAATCTGGGAAACCGGGTTCGAGTCTCCGCTCCTCCACATGCAGCTGCTGGGTGACCTTGGGCCAGTCACACTTCTTTGAAGTCTCTCAGCCCCACTCACCTCACAGAGTGTTTGTTGTGGGGGAGGAAGGGAAAGGAGAATGTTAGCCGCTTTGAGACTCCTTAAAGGGAGTGAAAGGCGGGATATCAAATCCAAACTCTTCTTCTTCTTCTAAAGGGGCAGGGGCAAGGTGGAAGCATGCAACTATTTTATTGCACAGGGTGGTGGGGCATGTGCAAGACTGGTTGATCCTCTCCAAAGGAGTTGGGGCAGACACAAAGCTGCTTTCGTAAGCCAGACAGCAAATGTCTCAGGAATTCCTAGGAGGGCGGCTAAAGCAAACTTAAATGAGGGAATCACTCTCTCAAAAAAGTTTTACAGTCCTCAGAAACACAGAACTTTAATAGAACAAATCTGTTCCTACGGACATCTGGGGTCAGAAAGAGGTGTGCTCTCAGTACCCAAGAGGGATGCAACATTGCATTAGCCAACAATGGTATCTTATGTGCTAAAATGGCTCAAAATATATTTAAGGAAGAAACATGCCCAAAGTCACTGCTGGTGCGGCACACCCGGCCTGTTGTTCTGCTATTTTAAAGGCCCCACCAGCTTTCTCCATGCCCACTGCATGCTCCTAAAAGAACTAGTGGACAGCAGAGCAGTGAAACCCTGCCCTGCGGTGGCAGAAGAGCCCCAGGCAGAAGGCAGGTCGCTCTGGATGAGTGACCTGCTCCAGCGAGAGCTTGGAGGCTTTTCAAGCCTCTGCCTCCCAGCCTACCTCTCATAGGTGCCACACCTTTCTTTTTTTATTATTATTAATATTTATTACTTTTACAACAATTTAAGCACTTAAAAAAAACAACCCAAGAAAAAACAATACAATACAAGACACTACATAACACTAAAAACATTAAACTAACAAGACAAAACAAAAACAATTTTAAAAACACATCAAAAAAAGAAAAGAAAAAAAAAGAAAAAGAAATTTGGTGCCACACCTTTCTTAAAGGGCTAGCCCTCTGGCCTCAGGATGGGCACATTCCCTGTGTTTCATAAGTTCTTGCCTTGTGCATCCCTGCACTGCTGAGCAGGCAAGGCAGTGGCTGAGGTGCTCCATTCCTCAGGCTCAGGGCAAGGTGCTCATGTGGGTCCAGTGTCCAAGTTCTACAAGCCCTGGTGCGGAAGAATCTGATTCATGGGGCTCCTGCCAGTCCCTTAGCACTGGCAGGAGCCCCATAAATCAGATAGGACTGGCTCCTAAGCAGCTGATGCTGCAGCCTCCAACACCATGCCTCAATCACTGATGGCTTCTGAGGTCGTGACAATCCCGACGGATGTGAGCTAGAAAAATTCACAGGCCCAAACCTTGTCACTCCAATAAACTCAGCAGACTGCTTTGGCAACCACGCTGTTCTATCAGTCTCAGTTCCCATATCTGCAAAATGGGAACATTTAGGAGCACAGAAAGCAGATCACTGGTCCACCAAGGTCAGTATTATCCACCAAGCTCAGTATTATCTGGCAGCAGCTCCCTCAGTTTTTGGATGAGGTCATCTTCCCAGCTCTAATTGGCTGGAGACTGAATCTGGGACCTTCTGCACAGCAAATGGGTGCTCTGGCTTTCAGCACCTCCCCAATAATACTGGTGGTGGTGGTTAAGGATTACTGCGACAATGAGGGTATGCTCTCAGCACTTGAAAGGGCTTACTTAGATAATCAAAACATGCTCAATTTCCAGGTTGAGGCTATTTTCATGTGTGTGGAGGGAAGCATTTCCTACATTAACAGTTTTGGGTTTTGAACCCAAACCTTCCCCACCTCTAAAAAGACCTTTAAGCTTCAGGACCTCCCTCCCCTCATCCCTCAAAGACACACAGCCTACCTCACACTGCAGGACAAACTGCTTCCCCCCTTTAATTCTGAGCAAGATGCATTTTTTGTCCTTGATCTGAGTTTCTTCCACCGACAAAATCTGTTCCATAGTCAGCAAATTTTGCTAAGGAAGCAAAAAGGAAAGACAGGTTGAATTGAAGGCCCAGCTGCTACCACAGCCCTGAGAATGAAACTGGCCAAAACCCTAATCCAGCTTCCTTGGGTTTTCATAAATTGCTTACAGGGGGTGGGAGGTGGGACTTTGGAAAAGGAAGGAATCTTAGCAGCAATACAGCTAGCTTCTCTCTACAGAACTGGCACTTCCTCACAAGGCAACTCATAAATGTCACAACCTGTGCACAGCATCACAAGGGTTGTGGCTTTGTCAAACCAAAGAAAAAGGTTAAGCAAAGGACCCCAAAAGTCTTAATTTAAAAAATGCTACGTGTGGGGGGGGGAATCCCTTCCTTTCTTACACTTTTCTGAAAGCTGTTCATGCATGCCAAACCCAAGTCCTCATCTCTCCTTTTGCCCCCCTCAAACTTGGATGGGAAAGATCTAAGAAGTAGATAAGGGCATTTTGCAGGGGGGCTGGTCACCAGCGTGCTTCCTGTCCACCCATCCTGTCTTCTCCTGGGGTGGGAGAGAGGACATGCAGCAAGTCGGCTGAGATTTGATTCTGCTGGAGAATCAACAGGGTGGGCCTTTTCCCTTCCACAGGGCAATCTTTTCCCACAGGGCAGACCAGGGTGGGTGGGTGAAGGAAACCAAGCTGATGTTTCAGGTTTTGGCATCTAAGCCTAGAAGCAATGGCTACTTCTTCCTGCCTTCCCTACCCAACCCCCAAGTCATTGCTTGGAAAATTTCTCAGATGCTGAATACTGAAGGCTCTACAATATTTATGGAGAGGGAAAAGGGGTGGCAATTATGCCTACCTTATGGAGGTAGACCAGGCATGGCCAAACTTGGCCCTCCAGATGTTTTGGGATTACAACTCCCATCATCCCTAGCTAACAGGACCAGTGGTCAGGGATTAGACACAGACCTTTTTACCCCAGGTGGTTCATGAGTATTCAGACAGGAAGTGAATATGGCCTCCCCCCCCCAATGATTTACTTTAAGTGAACAGAGTCGGATCAGACGAAGGCTTCTAGTCCACCCTACTGCACTACTCAATACAGGAAATTCAGCAAGCGAGCCCCTCCAACAGATGATTGCACAGACTTTGCAAGAAGACCTCTGGCTGGTGGAACAGCCCAGCACCCCTCTAGGCAACGTCTTCCAATGGCTCAGCTTTTCCTCATGTTCAGCCCCTGAGATCTAATCCTGCCCTCTGGAGCAAGCTTTTGCCTTTTTCTGTGACTAGCATGGGTGTGTGTCCCAAAGCCCTTTCATGGATAGTTTACCATTTTCGATGGGGCCCAAGGATGCGGAAAGAAATCAGTCATAATTCTGCGAAAAGCAGGAGTTAAAAGGGGAGCTCTGGGGGAAGGGAAGCGGGGATGTTCCCTGGTGATTTCCCCTAAAGCAGCAACAAAGATGCTCTCTTCTACAGCTGCTACAGGGCAAGACTCGGGGTCATCCTTACAAAGCAGCAGTTCCCAAAGGCAAAGGACCTGTGACACACTTCACCTGAATCGAAAGTACAAGGAGCAGAGCTTCACTTTTGCAACCGAAAAAGGGCCACAAGCGGAGCCCACAACAGATCTGGGCACACTTCCTGCCTGGTGAAAAAAGTAACCCAGAGAAGCGACGGATTTAGAGATGTTTTGGGACAGCTCCCTTAGAGGGTGGTAATTCTTCAGCCTCAAGAGCAGAAGTGCTGTGTTCAGCCAAAATGGTGCTCTCCAGGTGTTTCAGGCAGCTAGTCCCACCAGCCTTGGCCAGCCCAGCCCAGCAGAGCCAGACTGGGAAGAGAGGAGAAGGGCAAAAGAGCCAGCCAGCCTCCCAGCTCTGTGGGTGGCCATTTGGGGTTCACAGGAGCTGGATTCACTTCCTCACAGCCTGTAGGGGCGGTGCTTTGGGAACTGCTGCTAGGCAGGTTTCATTGCCTTACCCGCTTGCGTCTTTTTGTGTAAGTGCGCCAGGTGTCCTAAACAGGAAAACAAGAAGATTACCTGGAGCTTGGCATATCCCCTCCTGCGTTGGCCCCTCAAGCCTTAGCATACCGGAGAGGAGGCAGAGCACCCACCACCACCACTGACATCATGTGACACCACTGACATCCCCCTGCCAGCCCAGCTGCCCAACTCACCCGTGACTCTCCTTCTCCACGCCATTCAAGCCGGTTTGGAAAGAGGTAAAAATAGCGTCTCTGCCACTGAGTCAGGAAGGGGTTCCCCAGCTTCAGCATGTACCCGTGCATGATGCAGTCCTTCCCCAGAGCATAGTCTGTCACAAGGCAGAAAAAATCCACCGTTAAGGGGGGAGCTTTGCAGCTCTATAGTTCCATCGGCAGAAGGAGCAATTTGCAGAGGAAGACGTGCCAGAAAGAGGTCCCTGGAGGCTACAGTCAGAGGGCCACTCCATACGTGGCTTGTGGAATACTTATGCCTCAATTCCCCCTTGTCCATGTAGTAGCATTCTCCTCCAAATGTGCTATCACACATTTTAAGAGCATAAGGAGAGTTTGCTGGATTGGGCCAATAGTTCTTCTAATCCAGTCTAATCACAGAGGCCAGACAGTTACGACAACAGAAAACCCCCCAGCAGCACTCTCCCCTCCTGTGGTTTCTAAAAGCTTCTATTCAGAAGCACTGCTGCCTCCAAGTGTGGAGGCAGAGCATCGCCATCTTAAAAAGACCCTCTCTTTCCATGAATTTGTGTAATCCTCTTTTAAGGCCTCTTTTGGTGGCCTCACTGCCTCCTGTGGGAGGGAGCTCCATAGTTTCCATGCACTGTGATTTGAAGGCCTTTTTTTCCATCTGTCCTGCATCTTCCAACATTCAGCTTCACTGTGTTCTAAGAAAGGGAGAAAAACTATTCTCTGCCCAATTCTTCATGCTATGCATAATTTTATAAACTTCTCTCACGTCACCTCTTCTCCCTAAAGCTGGAGATTCCCTATGCTTTGAAAATCCAAATAGGAAATCTAGGACAGCAGTAGTTGGAGGAAAACCAGGGGCGTAGGAAGGGGGTGAGGTCCGCCCTGGGTGGCATCCTTGAGGGGGGTGACAAAATGGCACACCGTGAGGCCTGGCCTGCAGCATGCCCAAGCCATACGTCTCTCCTGGGAGTGATGCAGTGGCTCGCAGCCCCGCGCTGCCCAAAATGCCAGTGTGGGGTTTGCGTCTGCCAGGCAGACTCCGTGGGCACCTTGCCACCCCACCCCATGTGCCACAGTGCCCCCATGTGGTGCCCCGTGCGCAGATCACCTCACCACAATGCTCCTGTGGGCAGCTCTCCCCGCCCCTGCCGCTCCAGGTGCCGGAGCAGCCCCTGAGAAGAACTCTGTATGGAGGGGGAATAAAAGGAGGCACAAGAAGGGTTGACAATCCATATTAAACTGAGCTATGGACAGGCCCTAATTCTCTGTTCCAAAATATTTGGCTGAAGTGGCTTTCAAAGGGACAAGGCAAATTAAGGGAGAAAGAAGGACCCTGATGTCTCTGTACCACCACTATGTTGAGAGTCATCCTGCCAACTGCTAGGGGGCAACAGTGGGAGAAGACGGTTTCGTTTGTCTCCTGCCTGGTCCAGCCTGGAGGCATCTGGACCCACTGGGCTAAATGGGTCCCCTCTAGTCCGATTCAACTGCTTCCTTCCTCCTTCTTTAGAGGAAGGAGAGAGGAAGGCAGAGGGACTTTCGGGTTAGCGCCATCGGTTAATGGTGGAGTTCCTCTGACCGGAGGAACCTGCTCCGTGAGAACTGGGTCTTCCCGTCGCGGCGAAGGTGGGGACCCTTTAGAAATCCCAGGTGGAGGAAGCCTGGGAACGTGGGATTCGGCAGGGCACCAAGAGCACCTCCCCTACTCGCGGGGAATCCCATTTTGGGGCTCCGGAGCGAAGTGGGGTGAGCGGCGCGGTGCTGCGAACTGACTGCTACTTTCACGGAGTGAAGCCGCACAGCCGTTGCCGGAGAGCGCTGACTTTTTCCTGTGGACAATTGGACTTAAAAATAACTACCCGTGAATAAAGTGAAGAATTGGAGTCTTAAAAGCTGAATTTGACAACGAACGGGGGGAGGCTTAAAACAGGAAGTCCGCCTTCCTCTTTTTGTAAATAGTCGGAAGCAAATAGGCTTAAGCTAAAGCCTGGAAAGTCTACTTTAAACGCCTAAATTTCCAGCACAAAAATAGCGAACCCTCCCTTGGAAGCAGGGGAAAAAGGGGGGGGGGAGTTTTTGACGTTATTTGCCTGCAAAAAGAGAGGGAGAAGTTAACTTTCCATCGCTCGGAACCTGGGAACGGCAGCCATTAAAATCGCTGCATTTCGGAGCTCCGCATAGACTGTGAACAGACCGCTTACTTGACTGTCAGTGAAATAGTGAAACTAGAGTGATACATTGTTTCAATTACTTTCTCCTGGCTCAAAAGTTTCAATTATCTTCTCCTGACTTAAAAGTGGAGATTTGATACTAAATATACTGGTGCAATTGTAATTTTTTTAAAAAGGGGATACTTTGGACTAACATAATATAAACAATACCTATTTCCCTCTAGAGGAGGATTTTGAAACTGCTACAAGGAGTGGAATTTCCCAACTTTAAAGATAAGACTCTGGGACTGTATTTGACCTTGAGGGCTCAAGTGTTATGGCAGATAGGAAAGAAAAAATAGATCCCCCAGTCCAAGAAAAAACAACAAGGTCTGGGAAGTCTTTTCGAAGAGCCTCTACATCTGGCCCTCCTGCCTCATCTGCAGCTGCATTAATGCATTCTAAACCAAAAGGAATGATTTCAGAAGAAGCTATGGCACTTGCTCTGAGCAAAATTAATGATTCATTGGAACAAATGAATAAAAAATTGGATCAAAATACACAAAGCATAAATAGTTTGGGACAAAAAGTTAACTCCAATACAGAAGCTATTGAGAAATTGGTTAAGGAGTCCAATTCAACTCGACAGATAGCAGAGGAAGTTAAGGAAAAGGTGGTTGCTGTGGAAGCGAAGGTAACTCAACTGAGAGAGTTCCAGACTTGCAGAAGCAACTCGAGGACCATAAGTCGACGCTTTCTATGATTGAGCTCAAGGAGAAACAGACAAACCTGAGGATTAGAGCTGTACCTGAACTAGAAAAAGACTCTATGGTAGACTATCTTACAGAGGAATTTGTAGCCCACTGGGACTTGGATTTGGAAAAAGAGGAGTTTAAAATTGTGAGAGCCTTCAGACTTGGAAGAGGAGGGAAGAAGAACAGAATAAGAGACTGTTTGATTACCCTCCGATCTAAAGAAGAGAGGGATAAAATTTTGGGTTGGCACTACGAGAAGACTCTGGTAATACATCAGTCAAGAGTGGAAATATTCAAAGATATTCCCAAACACCTTTTGGATCTTAGGTTCAATTTTGGAGATCTGGTTGCTTTGTTGAGAAGGAACAAAATCAATTTCAGGTGGGAATTCCCTCAAGGCCTATCCTTCAGCTTCAAAGGAAGGAAAATAAAAATAAGATCAGTAGAAGATAAAATAAAGTTCCTGTACAATCACGAAGAAGATCTACAGAAGGGAATTGGAAAAGAGCCAACAACATTGGACAGAGGATCACCAGATAGAGGACCGGAGCAAAGAGCACTGGAGAGAATATCACCAAACAGGGGAACGCTGGACATATCGACATTATCTTTTGGATTGGACCCCCCAGTGAATGCACCAACACTACTACCAACAGAAGAGGAACAAGCTTTGGGGGCAGTTGGGGGGGGTACCAAAGTAACCAAAGGATGGCGCTGCAGGTCTTGAGCTGGAATGTGAATGGACTGAACAGCCCAGAAAAAAGGCGGAGAGTATTTCATTTATTGAAAAAAGAGCAATTGGACTTGATTTGTTTACAAGAAACACATGTGACAAGGTTACACAGGAAGTTATTGAGTAACAAAAAATTAGGCCAAGAATTTAGTTCATCGGATAAAGTCAAAAAAAGAGGAGTGGTCCTCTATGCAAAGGAGAGCTTATTACCAAAATTTATATTTAAAGATGATCAAGGAAGATTTGTAGCAATTGAAATTCAAACACAAGGAGAAAAATTCTTGATAATAGGTATCTATGCACCAAATGAAGGGAAATCGGAATTCTTTAAAAAGCTACGAGACCCTGATGGACTATTTGGATTACAATATGATTTTGATGGGAGACATGAATGGCGTAGTGTCTACAAATATGGATAAGGCACAAAGACAAATAGTTACCAAGGATGGAAGACTACCAAAAACTTTTTTTGATATGACTGAAAATATGGACTTAGTTGACATTTGGAGAACGAAGAACCCTCTGGGAAGAGAGGGAACTTGCTTCTCCAAGGCTAAAATGACATGGACAAGAATCAACCAAATTTGGGTAACCAGAGGACTGGCTCCGAAGATTTGAAATTTGCCCTAAGACCAGCTCCGATCATAATGCTGTGAAGATGGAAATGAAATTGATGCCAATTGGTTCCTTTAGATGGAGGATGAATGACTCTTTGTTTAGGAATGAAGAATTTACTAAGAAGGCCCAAAAAAACTTTGAGAGATTACTTCGAGATAAACATGAACACTACTGTGGAAAAAAGAGTAATCTGGGATGCAAGCAAAGCCGTCATGAGAGGATTTTTGATACAACAGAATACAATTAAGAAGAGAATGCAAAATGAGAAAAAAGATAAAATTTTGGAAAAAATAAAGGAAGGAGAGAAGAAATTGAGGGTGAAACCAAAGTCCCAGGAGATTTTGAAAGAGATAAAGTTATACAATACATGAAAATGATGAATCAGGAAATAGAATGGAAGATCAAACAGATGAGACAAAAGACATTTGAATCGGCAAATAAGTGTGGGAAACTGCTGGCATGGCAAATGAAAAAAAGACAAAAACTTAATACCATTACGAATTTGGAAGTGGAAGGAAAGAATATACAGAATCCAGTGGAAATTAGAAAGTGCTTCCAGAGGTATTTTAAACAACTATATACACAGGAGAAGCAGAAAGAAATGGACACTGATAAATTTTTGAAAATGAATGGACTACAAAAAATTTCTCAAGAAAATAAATTAATGCTGAATTACAAAATAACGGAGCAGGAAGTAGAAGGGGCCATTCAGAATATGCAATTAGGTAAATCTCCAGGACCGGATGGACTGACTTCTAGATATTACAGATCTTTGAAATAATGGGTAATACAACCTTTCTTTTTATTTTTTTAAAGATATTTATTGGGATTTTCCATCTTATTACATTAAAAAAACAAAACAAAAAAAC